CTCAAACAGTGCAGGAGCCTGGATGCAGGAGCTGATGCAGAGGCTGTGGAGGGATGCTGCTCACTGGTTTGCTCCTCGTGACTTGCTCAGCCTGCTTTCTCATAAAACCCAGGACCACCTGCCCGGGATGACATCATCCACAGTGAGATGGGCCTGCCTACATCAATAGTCAATCAAGAAAATGCCCGACAGGTTTTCCCACAGGCCAATCTGGTGGGGACATTTTCTCAATTGAGGATTCTGCTTCCTAAATGAATCTAGCTTGTATTAAGTTGACAAAAAAACTAGCTAACACCTAGCTCAGTACTGAGAAGGTTGAAGCAGAAGGATTACCAGTTCAAAGTTAGTCTGATCCTGTCTCAAAAAAAAAACAAGAATTGGGCATATAGCTAAGTTCCAGAAGGTTCATATAGCATGCTAACATGTACCCCATCTTATACAATCTGATTTACCATACTGCTCTATATTTTAATTAAAATCCTAAACAATAAGATTTATAGTATGTTATTACATTTCTATTTTGACCATTTGTATCGAGAATTGTCATTTAAAATATTAAAATGAGTCAGCTTGAGTGACAGGAGGTCTAATATTAAAACCCGGCATGAACCAAAACACCAATATTTGACATGTGGGAAGAAAACAGAACAAGGCAGAAAATGGAATTTTATTTAATCCCTATGGTGTAATGAAAATGTGCTGCTATTTAGTCTTTGTTTTTCCTACTCCTGGGCAAAAATATTGCTATTTGTGGATCAAATCTGTGAACAACAGGTGACCTGAGTTAGAATATGAAAATGTCATCAAGGCTCGCTTTCTCCATATTTTTTCATAAAGCTATACAAACGGTGATATACCAAATAAGTCAATGTGACAACATATAAACCATGAAAGAAATAAAAAGACAAGGCAGGCTAGTCAACAAGATGCTAATTTATGAAAAGGTTAGTTTCATTGGGTAATTACAGCTGTTTATGTTTCTAGGAGGCTGTAGGTGGTACAGAGAGAGCAGACAAGTGGGGGTAACTGTCATAGCGTGGTGTCTTTGGGGTATTTTATATCTGGGTGCACAGAGAAAAACACTTTCTCTTTGAACCTCCTGCGGAGCGGTTGCCTGTGTAGTGCCTCTGCCCCTTCCCTTGTGTGAAACACAGACAGGAAGCAAAGTCAGTCTGACCTAAGGGCAGGCCTCAGACCACAAACCCAGGACTTATTTATAGGCTTTTTGTTTTAAACTTGTGGCCCCTTTGGTTAAAAGTTCTTTGTTTAGACTTTATGCTTTCCTTTGATATTATTTGGAATGAGTGAACAAAATTAATAGTTCCTTTTCCCAAAGTCTGGCGTTTAGACAAGTCCGCGTTTATTCATAGAGTTAAGAAGAGAGTTCCTACTTGCTAGGAGGAGTCTTTCTCCTCATCACTGACAAGAGGGACAAATGACTCTTCCTTCAGCCTGTGTCTGTGGTGCCTATTGGCATATCAAGATCTACTATAGCCTCTAGGCTCCCACCCTCCCTCCCTACTCACCAGTACCTGCTACAGAGTCATCCCAACTGGCACAGCCGATCCCACCCTAAACATCTCCAGCCCCCCGAGTTTCCCTTCCCTTCCCTTCCCCCGGCTTCTCTGATTCCTATATAACCCAGCCATTTTGGTCACACACTTGCGGCTTCTCTCTCGTTCTTCTGGACTCTGCTCCTGGACCTCTCTTCATTTTCCTTTTGTTTTCTCTTTTCCTTCGCTCTTCTCTTCCGGGTTCGTTTCCCCCTCCTCTCTCCTCTCATGACCTGGTTCAGTCCAAACCCTTCCAGATGCCTCTGGCTGGACACTCCCTCACATTACCACAAACCTTCTCCTCACCCACACCTAGGAGTGGTCATTCTCTCATTTTCATTCACTAGCTGGTGTTTAAACGTCCATGCTAATTAGCTCCATGCACATTTAATGTCCCTTTGGTGTAAAATCATGAATTACCCTGCAGTCATGATTATTTCTTTGGGAGGGGGGGAGTCTCCATTCTGCCCTCCGGTGTTATTTAACCTTTATTTATACCTGGGTGTCACAGGCTCTCAGCTATTTGTGGTAAACAGACAGTGCATCTCCTCTGGGGAAAACTCCTTGAGAACCATATTCTCTGTCTGCCCAGTCTGACGAAACTCCTCCCTGTTTATCCTCACACCCTGTCATGCTGTAGCTTCAGGTACGGTGACAACATAGGGAAGGTCCCCACAGGCCACACTCTCCCCTTCATCTTCAGCTGTTTCACTATAATTTATAGCATATGTTATTAAGTATTATATTCAATTTGTCTGTGTATGTGACCATGTGTGTATGCTCATCGGTGCACTGGTGCTTGCATGTGTGCAAGTACACAAACGTGCACACTTGTGTGAAGGCCCAGAGGCCAATCAACCTTAGATGTTGTTCCTCAGGACAGTTGTCCATCTAGGTTTGGAGACAGGGTCTCTTCTCCGGGAACGGGGACTCACCCATTAGGCTGGGGTTGTGATGCATGACTTTAATCCCAGCACTAGGGAGGCAGAAGCAGGCAGATGTCAGTGAGTTCCAGGCCAGGCTGGTCTACAAAGCAAGTCCCAGGACAGCCAGGACTGCTACTTAGAGAAACTCTGTTTCAAAAGACAAAACAAACAAACAAAAACAGAGAGAAAGAAGTAAATTGAATTCCTGGCTGATATTCTACTAAAGCTTTGTGGTCAGAAGTGAACTAGATGCGTGAAGATCAAGTGTGATGTGAATTTAAATCTGAATATCTTATCTAAGAGTTGTATTACACCAGCTGCCCAAACTAGACCTTTTCATTCTTATGCTTGCTAGTCTGCAGTCCTGGGGTGAGCACTCCAGCACTGAGCGTGAGCCCCTGCCTGATGAACTCTCTGCACCAGCACACAGGGCTCTGCCTGTGTAGTTTATCCCATGTCTGTGACTGCTGACCCCAGGGCAGCTCTGCAGAGGAGCAGGAGGTTCCAACCTCCGCTGTGGTCTCCACTTGTCATTCGGGTCTTCCTTTCAAGATGACCACGGACGTACCTTTTAATTTACTTCGTGCGAAAGCATCCCCACTCAGGGAGCCAGGAGAGTAAAGGAAAGGCGGGGGATTCAGTGCCCAGCCAATTTGTTGCCTGCAGCATTAGGTAATGGTCTTAATACAATCCCTTATTCCTGCTGAGGCTGTTACCTAGTGCACTGAAATCACCTGACACTTGGGAGCCCCTTTCCTTTTTAAGCATCACCTTTGTTCTTTGTAGCCTTTCAAGCCCCTGAAGACTTATCTGCTTGATTTCCCTGAGGGCTTTAGAGAACTACCAGACCCTTATTATCTCCACCAGTTACCGAGGTGACCCGCTGGTGTTGGCTTCTCTGTGTAAGGAAGGTGGTGCTCCGTCACAGAGTTCCGTTGTTGCACAATGATGAAATCATTGCACAGCTTGTATTAGAGGCCAGTCTATGTGTGTGGGGGGAGTAATAGTGGACCCCCTTTTTCATCTGACTTTCTTTATCGCCCATGCTTCTATCCATGACCTTGAGCTTTCAACTGCTGTACTGCTTGCTCTCCAGTTTCAGCCCTGAGTCGCGCTGACTGAGCACCCCAAGTCCTCTAGCTCACCCATTTGAATGAGCCCACTTGAGTGTCTGCTGTTTGACTGGCTTTCTCTAATGAAGAGTCATTCCATGTCCCAGTCCCTGACTCCTTCCCTGCTCTACCGAGTGGACCCAGGCCGGTCATCCTAAGTGTGTTGAGGCTCCCTGCCATTCTCCCTTACGTTCTGCCTGCAGTAAGCTAAACAGTCCCCAATGTCCCCCCCATTGTTACTAAGGGATGAGATCCATGTACCACATTTCCCACTCTTCTTCCCATCTGATGACATCATCGACTCTGATCACAAGAAGTGTTCTCATCCCATCACCAAACCCACCTGAGTCCCTGCACATGATCCCAGACATATAGACACACACACATACATCTGCACAGACACAGACACACATCTACACAGACAGACACAGACACACATAGACACACACAGACACACACACACATAAACACAGACAGACACACACACACATGCGTGCACACAGACACACACATACACACATGTGTGCACACAGATCAGGCATCTCTCCTTCCTCCCAGCCTTCTAAAGCTGTTCCTTCCTCTTCCTGGTGGAGTCGGTTCTTAAACAAGTGGTTTTCTGTCCTGGAAAGAATTCTTCAGAGCCTGAGGGCTGGGCTGTTAGAGAAAGCTTTCTCTGGGGTCAAGTTGGAGGCCTGTGGAGTGAACTGATAAAAAATTATTGGAAGAAAAGCTTTGCGTGGGTACTGTGAGGGGGAGGGGAGGGACCTGGTTTCCTTTTCTGCTGCTGTGATGAGACAGTGACCAAAAAAAAGCAGCTCCGGGGAGGAAAGATTTACTGTTGTACAGAATTCGGAAGAACACTGGTAGTTTCAGTCGGGTATTAAGTGTTGCTTAGTAACATGACGGGCCTTGTCACTTGAGTCCCCTAGTGGGGACTGGTCATCTTCTAGGGCTATGTAACAGGCCTACAGTTGACTTCCAAAGAGCAAACATTTCTATGCCATAAAATTCCTATTCTGCTCCAGAGCCACAGGGCCTCCTCTCTTGACTCTCCCTTGGAAGATGCCATGCAGCTAACTCCTGGGCCGAAAACACATCCTTCAGCACAGGCTGGCCTGACCTAGAACACCGTGTTCCTCTGGGCTTTACTCAAAAGTGGATGTGTTTTGAGCTAAACAATAAATATATCAAAGCCATTTCCCCAGTGGTTATCTATATTTATGATATTCAAGCCCAAAGAGGCCACGACGTCACCTGTTCTCAGTCGAACAGGACAGAAAGAACAGCACTGTGTGTCTTATCTCCAAGGGGCCTCTATATGCTTCCCAGATGCGACAGGTGTTCGGATTCCAGTGGAGTTTAACCTCCGTTCTCTGGTAATTGTCTCTTTGGTGCATCCAGATCACAAGCTGCTTGCTGACCACAGAGCCCACGAGAACCGACGTTAGCAACATGAGCCAGAACCGTCCTCTGCAGAATGCCATTTCATGTGAGGCCCTGATGAGCTCTATTTGTGGAAGACAGCTGAAAGGTTCACCAAGCCCGAGAATATGCATCTGCCCTCACTGAAAGGAAACCACTTCCTACTTCTTAAAATAACCAGGATTGGAAAGAAGCTGTGCACCAGGTCATTAGTGGCATCAGGACACCGAGTGCCGCAGACAGAGAAAGACTGGTACCGAGAGGTGGAAGAGCTGCTGAGACTGGAGCTGCTGTCTGATTAACTGACTGGCAGGTGGGACTCAGGAGAGCGAGATTCACATGCAGATGATAACCCCACACTGTAGAATCTCTCGATAGTCGTGCTGATCTTTGCTGCACCCAATGAGATTGCCTCTGACTTACTTGGCCCTTCCTTTCCGAATGCCCCTTCCAAAGATCAGGTATGGAAGTATTCTTATCTCAGTTTCTATTGGTGATCAAGGAAGTAACTATAGGGCAGGGCTCAGAGATCCAAAAGATCTACTGTGCTTTGAATGTAGGTGAAGATTTCATTTGTCACTTAGTGTTGGTGAATTTCAAGCACAGGGGCCATGACAGCATTCCAGCACGCTTGATGAGCATCAGAGCAAACATTACAAAGTCTGGGCATTGCCTTTTCCTACTATACAATTACTCTTGTAGAATGGAAAAGGACTGGAGGGATATGTTAGCTGGACTTTTGTGGTGTCAGTGTACCACTCCCCTTTGTTTAGTGACTCTGGGGTCCAAAGAACAGGTTCATGTTGACAAACTGGGTGAGAGGTCAAGATGATCTATTGTGGCTTGTCTCCCCAGCTTCATTCGGGAGCTGGGGACCTGAACTCCTGTCCTCCGCGTGTGCAGAAAGTCACCTACCCACCCCATCTCTGGAGTCCTTTCATTGCTCTTGTGCTGGTCCCTGACTTCCGGCTTTCCACCCTTGTCTACCTGTTTCAAGGAAACATCCAGTTCCTCTAGATCTTTCTTCTCTGCTAGCTGAAACAAGTTAAGCCTCAGCAGGAGAGATCATGACTAAGCTACGAGGGGAAAGAATTCCATATTCTGATCTCCTTTCCCTACAGGTTTCTGCGGCCCATCCACTTCTACTGTACCTGTTCCTGCAAGGCACAGCAGCCAGCCACCAGAAGCTAGCAACGCTCAGTGTTAACCCTGGGGAAGAAACTAACCCCACCCCCCTGAAAAGATCGTCCTGGCAGCCTAGAATGGTATACTCTCCATGGGGGTAACCTCCAGACGTTTCTGTAAGTGGGCAAGGAGGAGGCTGTTAAAAGTTCCAAAGTTAAGCAGAAGCCAAACTATGCAAGATCTTGCAAGCTACGGTAATTTGCATTTCATTTAAATTATTAATAATAATAATTGTTATTGTGTGCACACAGCATGGTGCATGTGTGGAGGACAACTCTGTGCAGTGGATTCTCTCCTTCTACCTTTACACAGGTTCTGGATTGAACTCAGGTTATTAGGCTTGTGTGGCAAGTCCTCTACTCACCCAGCCATCTCAAGGGCCCCTATTGAAGTTTCAGTGCATCTAAAAATCATTGATGGCAGCGGGGGTGAGGGGTGGGGGGGCTGGAAAGCTGGCTCAGCTGGCTCTCAGAACCCTAATGGTGGCTTACAAAAACTGTTTCCAGGGAATTTGCTGTCCTCTTCTGGCCTCCATGGGCACTGCATGCATATGGTGCGCTTACATACAGGCAGGCAAAACACCTAGCATACACATAATAGTTTAAAAAGTGGGCGGAGAGGCAGAACCATTGAACAGGTTCTAAGTAATAGTCATGTGATCCTACTTCATCTGTGAACTTCCCGTGGTCAGTGTGGAACTGGCTTCTGGAAGAGATGGGATGGAAGAAAAACAGAAGTAATCAGAGGAGTGCAAGGAAAAGCTGACGGCGGGTTCAACAGCGTGGTTGAGGTAGACAGGGTGGGAACAAATCAGAGTAGTAAGAACTGCCAATGGCTTACATGTGGACACCAGAAATAGGGACACTAGCATTCCCATAGGTTATATACTAGTCATGGCTTACGGCTCCATTTAATTGTATATACTCAAAATAAATGAAGTGATCCCAGTTTTTGGTTTGTTTTTTTTTTTTTTTTTGAGACAGGTATTTCTGTACAAAACTGGCTGCCCTCAAGACCATAATCCTCCTGCTTCAGACTTCTGAGTGCTGGATTTAGAGGCGCATGCTTCATGGTCCCCCTGCTTCAGACTCCCAAGTGCTGGGCTTAGAAGCGCATGCCCCACGCCTGGCTTCATGAGGTAGTTTTTATGTGATGTGGATACTTCATTTTCTAGTTACAAGTAACTAATGTAATGATGGGAGTTTACGTACAGGACACAATAGAGGGAACAGATTTATTAAAATTCACACATTCGTTTTCAACTAGCTGCTTAAATAAGTTCATTTCTTTCATGAAATAAATGTTGATTAAAACTTTGAAAAATATTTTCAACTACAAAAGTACATTTTCTGAAATCTCTCTTGTAACACCTCGCAGCACATTTGTAAAAATTGTCCTTGGCTGACAACTAATCTGAGATAGAACCAACACTTATGTTTTTCAATTACAGAGAGTTCGTCAGGCTCTTTGAACATCCTAGAACGCCAAGTAACTGAGAAAATTCTTGTCTCCTGGTACGATAGACGGAGTTTCCTTTTCATTTTCTGTCTTGATTGAGCGCCATATAGTAGAGATTCATTAAAATCTACTCAAGTCTGACCTCTGGAGCTGATGTTGTATGTCCTGTTGCAGTGCAAGTTGAAAGACTCTTGGGGAAGAGCCACACTGTGTTGTTGGTGTTTAGTAAAATTACTCTGTAGCTGCCCTAGTAGATTCTATTTTATTGATTTATATGTGTATGAGTGTTTTACCATGTGTGTACCATGTGCCTGCTTGGTATCCTTGGAGGCCAGAAGAGGGTTTTGGATCCCTTGGAACTGGAGTTACAGGTAGCTGTTTCCTACCATGGGGGTGCCGGGGAATTGAACCCAGGTCCTCTGGAAGACGAGCCAGTTCTCTTAACCCCTGAGCTGTCCCCCCAACCCTGCCATAGCAGATTCCTTAAGGAACAGAGGGAAAGGGGAAAGTCAATTTTCTGAGCACTTAGAATGTTACATCTTTTTCAGTAGAGGTGTTTCAAGGTTTTGATTATCTGTGTCCAGTGACCCTTACTCCTTAAGACTTCATATCAAGGCTGAACTTTCCCAGCCTTGACCACGTATCCAACCATTCCTCTGAAGAGCAACCCGACTATCCAGTAAGAACATAAGTCATGCCTGCAGCTTGATATTTATTCCTGTGATTATTATTTTCTTTTTAAACCACCATCTACCCCCTCAGCTAACCCACCGGTTTGCCAGGGTAGCCTGGTAAGTAAATGTGGTTGTTCCATCCATTTCATACCCACGGTATCTGCTACAGCACTGCAACAATTGAGGCATTTAATGGTGAGCACGTACATGTTTGGTTAGGAATTGGAGTCATAGTCTAAATCTGAATCATGGTAAAGTACGCTGAAACATTATCCCCAAATGTCCTAGGCTCAAAGTCAGGGAACCTGTAAATAGTAACTAATATGGAAATAAGGCTTTCATAGATGTGATTAAGGGTTTTGAGATGAGGTTCTCATCCTGGATTGTTGGGCTTGACACTAAATTAAATCACATGTACCCTATAAAGGTGAGGTCAAGCCAGAGAAGGTGGAAGGCAATGCAACGACAACAGCAGAGACCGAAGCGAGATGACCAAAGCCTAGGGATGTCAGTGGTCACAAGCACCTAGAAGGTCGAAAAGGCTATGAACAGACTCCCTGGTAGAGCCCTCTGATGGTGTGGTCCTGCTGCCATCTTGACTTGGAACTGTGAAACTGATTTCTGACTTGTAGAACCATGACCCAATAAATTTCTAATTCCAACTATTGATTTATTATGACAATGAAAGGGCTGTCCAAGATATTAGATGTGTTGTGTGAGTCTGGACAAGTTAGCTAATTTGCAACTTGGTGCTGAGTATGTATCACCTCCCAGTCCAGGAAAACCCACAGCAGGTGCTCTAGAAGATGTGGTAACATGTACAATAGATGACAATTGGTAGAGATTATGTTGTAGTGCTTGAAAACATATTTATTATATTTATTAGACATTTTATAAACTATTATGCTTAGTTCTCATAGCTCTGTGAGGTTGAATGTCATACCTTCTCACTTTACAGGCAAGGAAACAGACATAAAAGTTAAACAGTTTGCTCAAATTGCATTATCAAAATGAAAAATATCATGAGAATAATTTTTTGAAATATTTTAGACTTGTTTTTAAAATATTCTCGTATCTTATTGCCAGATGCACTCTATCCATTGAAATAATAGTTCCAGTGTTTCAGAGGGGAGAACAGATATGCTTAGAACAAAGGCGTGACTGTCAAGGGGACTTTTAGTCTCTAGCACAGGATTAATCTTGAAAGCCAAGCTTTGTTAAGTGAGAGCTTTACAGATTCTTTCATTGCTCCTTAACTCATGAAAAAGCAGAACCCGTAGGGGTGAAGGTAAAGACCACAGGAGGCACGAAGACAGTCCTTATTACAGGAAAGGGAAGGGAAGCTATGCTGGGCCCCACAGATTATGAGAACGAAGGGGAACTGAGAGTAAGTGACACATCCAGAAAGCAGCCACCTGACTTTTCATTCTGCTGGTTCTCCTGGAGAACTCGTGTTCAAGCCTGCTTTCCAGGCAGCAGTGCTACTAGGAGATGGTAGAAGCTCTGGGACTTGAGGCCTTTTGGGAAGAAGTTGGGCCACTGGTCACCTACCCTTCCGAGGGTACTGGAACTGCGTCCCCAGTCCCTTCTTCTCTCAAATTCTGCCCATGAGGTGAACAGCTTGATTGTGATCTGCACACAATGTGCTGCCTGGGCTGAAGACCAAGAGCAACAGGGTCAATCTGCCCTGGGAAACCACAAGCCAAACCTTCTCCCAAGTTCACATGTCGTACATCGGGCAATGGAAAGCTGACTACTCTGTTCTCATGCCACCGTAACTCATGACAACTTCTGCTTGTCTGCTTCCAACTTGAGTAATTTCTTTCTCCTCCTCTTCCTGAGTGCACCTCGTTAAGTTGCCCTCACTTGACCTAGTCTTTGCTGTGTAAACTCAGCTGTCCTTGAGCTCAGGTCTGCCTGCCTCTGCTGGGATTAACAGCAGAACTAGTGTTCCCTGTTTCTCTACTTTGTGAAGACTAAATCTGTTGAGTCTGAAGGGCTTCTTACATGATGGGATCTAGAAAAACTTCATCAAATGTTTCACTCTTATGCCAGATTTTTTTTTTCAAAAAATAAAATGAACCCAATCATGGTTTAACCAAGTAGAAATGTTTTCTTCCATTTTGAAGCAAGTTGCCTAGGCTTGATACAAATATCCCAGGCCCCATTTAAGTTTCAATTTCCCTCTTGTACTATACTGGGTGAGGCCTCTGACAGGGCAGTCAGTCAGTTGTCCATGTATAGGAGAGTTACCCCTCCTTCCCAGCACGGATACAGTATGGAGGTGGAATGTGCACAGGAAGCAAGTCAGACCCTTTTGCCAGGGAGACAGCATGTTCTCACAAGACCCACACAGCAAACTAACACCTTCATCTCACTGACACAGAGACTCCCGTGGTCCCTTAGCTGCAGGGAATGTAAGTTACATTTTTTTTTTTTTTTGAGACAGAGTTTCTCTATAGTTTTGGAGCCTGTCCTGGAATTCTCTCTTGTAGACCAGGTTGGTCTGGAACTCATAGAGACCTGCCTGCCTCTGCCTCTGCCTCTCGAATGCTAGGATCAAAGGTGTGTGCCACCACTGCCTGGAGAGAAGGTAGCATCTTAGAGCAGGTGTTTTCCTCAGGAACTGCTGAGGAAAGAAAGACAAGCCTCACCGTAGATTATGAATCCCTGCTCAGGGTGCTTCAGTGTGTGGGCTTCTGTTGTCAGGAGGAAAGCTCTTCCCTATCCCAGAGCATATGCAGTCTACATTCCTTTGAGATGAACTCTTCTTCTTGTCCAGGGGACAGCAGTTTCACATCCCCCATCTCTGCTCAACGGTGACCAGCTCAGGAGAGCTTTATTACAATGGAAAGTGACTCTCTCACGACAGCGGATGGTCTATTCTTTCACAGGGCCTCCCCACCCCACTTCTTTTCTCCTCCCCCTGCCCTTCCTTTCTTTTCCCTTCTCCTTTCTTAAGGCAGCATAGCCTTTGAACCTTGCTATGTGGCTAAGGATGATCTTGATCTCCTGACTCCTGAGTGTCAGCACCACCACAAATCCTCAGGGCACTCTGAGAACTTAGCTACCTCCCCAGTCATTGAGCACTGCCCTGGTCTGATGCCACTAGCTTCTTATCACTCACTTCCCTCTACAAGAAAGCAGTCCTTTGGGAGACAGGGTCTTTCTATACAGCTCTAGCTGTCTTGCAACTCCCTATGTAGATCAGGCTGGCCTCAAACTTGCAGAGATTCATCTACCTCCACCTTGTGAGTGCTGGAATTAAAGGTATGCATCACCATGCCCGGTTTCATATTTATTTTTTAAATACACTTTTTGAGACAAGATTTTACGATATAGGCTGGCTTTGAACTTCTGATCCTTCTGCCCCAGCTTCTCTGAGCGCTGCAATTTATATTTACAAGCTACTAGGATCTGCTTTCAAATGCACATTGAACTGAAGTTCCTAGGGAAAAAGCCTCAGCTGCATTAATATTCTACAAGGCTGTTTAACTGATTTGGTCTCAATGACTGTTAAGACTTGGAATGTTGCAGCTACAGAAACAAATTATTGTGGGTTATCTATCTAAATTGCTATTTATTGTCCTCACCGTGACTATTACACAAATCCTGTTTTAATGCATAAACAGATCCTGTAGGATCCCGGGTTTTCCCCCTGCTCCTTGAGGTGCAAATCACAAGGACTATTTTGGTTAGCCAACTAAGCTTCCTGCTAATTTCTGTGCTTGTTCTGCTTTAGCCTGGTGATTTAGCTGCAGGGCTTTGTTTTACTTTTGGTATGGTAATTTTCCACCTGCCCAGGAGAACACAGAGCCAAGTTCTCTCTCCACTGTCTGTTGCTGATCTCTCTGGCTGCTCTCTCTGCCCCCGACCCCCTGCCTGGGAAGGAATTCCCACACAGCGCCAGGTTCCTCCCTCTGTGCTTTCCCGTCTGGCTCACTAAGGTGAAATATTAAGAGAACATTTGCCCGCTTGAAGGCTGCACCCAGCAACCGTGGTAACGAAGTAATCTTGCCACACAAGAGGGACCCCCACTCTTCTGTGGCCAGTCGATACTGATAACCTAGGACATCTGGTTATCGGAAGGATCAAACGAGGGACAGTTTTGAACTTGCAAAAAGAGAGGGCCGAAGCAGGGTAGTCATCTCACTTCTCATAATGGCTCTGGTATTTGGCCTCCGTGGAAAGAGAGATCCTCCAAGCCTGCCTCTCAAAAAGCAGAAATATTAAACGCCTGGCCTAAACATTTAATGCTCTGTCTCCCGAGTACAGAGCTTCATATCCCGAAAACAGACATTTAATGCCTTGCATCCCGAATGCAAAGCCTCATTTCTTGAGAGTGGACATTGAAGGTCTGTCTCCCGTGAACAGACAAGATACTCTGCCTTTCCAAACACAGACAGACGCTTTGCCATCCCGAGAGCAAAGCTTCGTCTTCTGACTCGAGAAGCAGATCGAACAC